TCGCACAAGCACAAGCGGGCTCGTCTGGTACCTGTTCCTGAGGCGCAACGGCAGCAGGTAGATGTTGTGAATCTGCGTGAGTCCGAGGTGCAAGAGGAAGAGCAGGTTTTGCTGCATCTCCTCGGCCAGTCGAGGCGTCTGCGGAGGCGGGGCCAATCGGAACAAGTGGCCGAAGCCGGCCTCGAGCTCGGCGTCGTGCGGAGCCGCGGGGTTCGAACCAGCCGCCGCCGCTGCCGGCCTCGAATGGTTCCAAGTGCGCATGGCGTAGGCGAGCCAGTCGGACGAGGCGACGGCTCTGACGACGCCGTCGAGGCGAGTCGCCGAGCGCAGCTCCGCAAAGCGGCGTACGGCGCCGGCCAATTCGGCGTCGAGCAAGTGGCGCTCGAGGCGGTGTCCGAAGGCGGCGACCTGCCGGCCGATGGCCCGTTCGGCCACGCGCAGCAGCCGCCCGCGCCTCGAGCCGACCAGCGGCCGGGCTTCGGCGTCGAGCTCGTCCGAGGAGGCGCCCAGCCAACCGGTCTGCAGATGCGTCGCCAAGCGACTCATCTCGTCCAGCGCGTCCTGCACTTCGTTGCTGAGCACCTGCTGGCACGACGTCTGCATGCCGCGAGTGTAGTCCACCTGCCGCTGCAGCTCCTGCTCCGCGAACTCCTCCAGCAACCGCGTCTCCAGTTGCAGCCTCAGCAGCGGTCCGCCCATCGCCGACGCCGACGTCGACGTCGACGTCGAAAGCGCCAGCGGCTGGAGGCTGAAGGTAAGGGCGACGGCGACGCTGAAGGTGAAGAGGAAGGTGTAGAAGACTCGGAAGGTGAGGTAGCTCAGCAAAAGGGCCTTCCTCCTCCAAGCCATCTGGCCGACATGGCGGTTGGCCGTCAAGACGCGACAGTCGCCGTCACCGTCGCCGTCGCCGTCACCGTCGCCGTCGCAGTTCGGCCAGGCGCCGCTTTGTCCGCGTCTACGCGCCGTCGGCGCCAGTTTGGGCACATGGTAAGGGTAGTAGAGGAGAGAAGCGACAGAGGCGACTCGAACGCCGGCCAGACGTGATTGGCTGGCCGGACGCGGAGTGCGGCGGAGGAGGCAGCTGACGGCTCCGAGGAGGGCGTAGACGACGGCGAGGCAGCCGGTCAGGAGGAGCAGGAGCAAGAGGAGAAGGAGCAGCGACGAGACGGGCGGAGTGGCCGGCGCCAACGGCGAAGGCGAGGCCGCGAGGCCGGTCAGCCGTCTCTCCTCGCCGACGCCTGCAACGCCGCCGGTGGCGCCAACGCGCCCGGCAACGCCGACTCCGACGGCGACGGCGACGGCGACGGCGACGGGCACTGCGCCTCGCTTCGGTGCGCCATGCCTAGACGCCGCAGCCCGAGGAGGCATCGACGTCGCCGTCGCCGTTGAGACCGGCTGCAGTAGAAGTTGCACTCGCCGGGTCACGAAGCAGTCGGTGAGGGCGACGCCGACGCCGAGGAGCCGGGCAGTCGGCGAGGCCGGCTTGGAAGGCCAGGCGGCCGGTCCGGCCAGCAGCTCTACGAGCCGCCGGCTCGTCGCGCGGCCCAGCCAGAAGTTGGCCCAAACGGGGTATTCGAACTGGCGATCGCTCGAGCCGTCCACACTCGCCCTCGGCTGGTTCACGCCCCCCACGAGGAGGTCATGATGGAACAGGACCAGTTGGTCCGTCAGGCGGAACAGCTTCACGTTCAGGTAGGCGGGAAGACCGGTCACGGCAACTGAAAGGTGAAATAGAGCATAGCAACGGGAAGATGAGGGCTGGCAACGACAGGAACAGCAGCGTCATCAGAACTCCTCTGGCAGCCTCAAGCGGGCAAGATGATACCGATTGACGAGGCGATGTGTGCATTGTGATCAAGAAGTGGATCAGCCATGCTTTAATCGCCTCCTCAATGGGATCCGGGTCCGGATCGTGAGTATCCTGGCGGCGCTACCACTTCACCCGACCGCATGACCACGAGTGCCGGTGCAGTTGTCGAGGCAGATGCGACACTCGGGGCAAGCCAGGCCTCTAGAAACGCACATTTCTTAAATATTTGGCTGGTTGATAAGGCAAACATGTGCATGGGATTACTTTGCTTATTTTCCATTGCAATGACAAGCAGATGTTTGCTCAATGAAGAAGCCAAATATTTTAGAAATGTGAGTTGCTAGGGGCTTGGCTTGCCTCGAGTGCCGCATCGGCACTGACAATCGTGACCATTTGGTGGAGCAAAGTGGTAGCACCGAAAGGATGCTCATGATCCGGATCCGGATCAGGATCAGGATCAGGATGCGAATTGGGCAGAGGATGCTGATGAGACGAGCTCAGATGAGGTAGAAAGCGCAATCGTGTCGCTCCAAAGCAGAAAGGCCTTTGGGAGAGTGGATTAGTAAAATGCACTGATATTGTTGGGCTTATTCATCGGATTGTGGCGAAAACTGAACCATCAGTCCTTAATTGTTCGTTGCATGAGCAGACCTTTCGAGACTACCAGCAGATCTGCAAGAAATCCCGTATTCACCCGATTTCGGTCAAAGTAATGAAAATGCGGTAGTTGAATGTTGCCGCAATCGGACGAGAAGGACTCCTGCTTGCATTGAAGTGCGCACTCATTCTCGCTTTCCAAAATACCTTCTTGTCCAAACGCCTTTGTTGAGGTGCACATCTGCCCTCGCGGAATTTCGAGAATGCACGTTGCACCACCACAACTCGGGTTCGAGTCCTCTTGGGACAGGGTCAGACGAGGTTAGAACTCTTGACCAGCTGGCGATTGGCTTTACTCGAACATTCATGTGACTACGCTGTTTCCGAGTTAGTCTCCTTCGATTCCGGTGAAAAGGTGCTAATCTTTTATCGGTCATGTGACGAACATCATCAGAGCGAGGTATCATCGTCACAGCCAAATTCAGGCTAACGAGTCATGAAAACTCACCGGCAAATCCCTAAAAAGTGGTACACATGCTCTACATCTGGTCTCTTTGATCAAGTATAAAGTGATTTGTAGGAATGGGTTTAGGGTTAGGGTTAGGGTCTCCCTGACAACAAGACCAAGTTGCGACAACGAGGTTAACCCATTTCTATAAATAGAGAGGAGACTGCGATCATACCAGATGCTACAAAATCTTTATCTTCATATCTTCAAATAAATTGATTTGGTTAGTTAAGGTCATATGTCAACTCAGATGCCTGTGAGTGTGTCTGTCTCTGTATATGTGCCAGAGAGACAGACACACTCACATGCATCAAAGTTGACATATGACCTTAACTAACCAAATCAATTTATTCGAAGATATGAAGATAAAGATGTTGTAGCATCTGGTATGATCGCAGTCTCCTCTCTATTTATCGAAATGGGTTGACCTCGTTGTCGCAACTTGGTCTTGTTGTCAGGGGGACCCTAACCCTAACCCTAAACCCATTCCTACAGATCACTTTATACTTGATCAAAGAGACCAGATGTAGAGTATGTGTACCACTTTTTAGGGATTTGCCGGTGAATTTTCTTGACTCTTTAGCTTCAATTTTGTTTTGACGATTATACCTTTCTCCGAAATTGTTCGTCACATGACGGATGAAAGCTTAACATCTTTTCACCGGAATCAAACAAAATTGCCTCGGAAACAGCGTCAGCAGGAATGTTCCCGTAAAGCCAATCGACAGCTGGTCAATAGGAATCGGCTGTCGTCTTCTGGTGGAACC